TGATGTAGAGATTGACACCAGACTAGAAACCAAGAGACTTGGTTTGTGCTTTAAGCACAAAGCCAACTGCATAACTTCAAGCAAGTCAGTTTATCTTAACCCCAGGAAGAAAATAATGGCAACTTGTGAAAATCCTGCCTAGAAAATTGCAGCAACTGGTTCCGGCCTCTGCCAGAAGTCAACACATGACTATTATCTATCTATCTACCCACCCACAAATCATGTTATTTGTCTGATTAAAAATTGATCTGAGGTTCAATTTGTTTTTTGTCATGTGTAAACTGATAGCCAATTTGGTGTAGTGATTGTAATTAAGGCATCAGGTTAGAAATCAGGAGACTGCATTCTAGTCCAAACCTGGGCACAAAGCCAGCTGAATGACATTGGACCAGTTATTTTTTTTCAGCCCTAGGAAGGAGACAATGGCAAAATACTTTTGAAAAAATTTGCCAATAAAATTACAACATCTTGTCCAAGCAGTGTCTGAAATTGGGCATGACTGAATGGAAAAAGGGAAAAAAGGAAGCAATGTTAACAGATAGACAAGCTCTCTTATCATGTAAAAATGATCTACCATTAAGTAAGGGTCTAGGGCAGGGGTGTCCAACCTTGGCAACTTTAAGCCTGGAGGACTTCAACTCCCAGAATTCCCCAGCCAGGAGTTGAAATCCTCCAGGCTTAAAGTTGCCAAGGTTGGACACCCCTGGTGTAGGGTCTCCTGCTTGGGCAGGGGGTTGGACTAGATGACCTACAAGTCCCTCTCAACTCTGATTATCTGTTATCTGTTATGTTTCCTGCCTTGAGTTACATATAAAGTAATTAAAGTAAAGTAAAAATCTAATAAAATAAACTCTTGCATTCTCTACAAAGGTTGACTGGCACGAAATGGTGTACTGTATGTGGCTTTTGTTATGTCTGGACACGTCGAGATCAGCAGAACTGAACTGCAGTTGTCATACTTATTGAAATCCCCAAATCTAACTCTGAGTATTGGGATTGCATTTTTATGTGCCAATTTCCCTTCCAAGAGAATTCGTTCAAATGTCACTGGGACATTCTGGAAAGCAACTCTTCCAACTATAGATGGTTTTTGTTGCTGGTGTTGTTGTTGGAGGGGGGGCAAGAGAAGCAAGTTTAAAAAAACAGGCTGTCGTTCACGCCAACCAGCCCCCTCCCTTTGCCATTCCAAGACACATCTGGTTTCATTCAGGTCTCTCCTTCCTTTACCACTCGCAGGCACACACCCCCAAGGGCCCTACAACTGTCCAACGAAAAAGGGAGAAGGAATGGTGGGGAAATGTTCTAAATTAGTGAGGATTCCGGATCCTACTCCTTTTAAAAAAGAAAAAGAAAAAAGAAATGCAGGATGTGCTACAATCACCTTCTCCCCAACCCGCTCCCATCTCAAAACACCGCAAGTTTAGAAGGGTGGGGAAGAGGAAGCTTACCTGAAGGAAAAGCATAGAGTCCGATCTCAAGGATGAAGAGGATGCCCAGGGTATAACTTAGCAGGCGAGGCCGCATTGAAAAGAGGGGTCTGGGAAGCCTCATCTCGGACGAGGTGAGGGGAAGACAACTCGATGGGGCGCGGTGGATCTTCTTTCTCCTCTGGCTCCCTGTCGCCGCGCTGTCTCGATGCAGTAGCTTTCCACCTCCAAACGCTCCTCCCGTTAGGAAAGTGATGGGAGAGAAAGACGGGGCGATGGGAGAAAAAAGAGAGGGCCCCCCCCCGAAGCCCCTCCCTGCCCTCTAAGAATTCAGACGCTGCGTCACGAACCCCACTGGCTGCCCAGCCAGTTGTGGGCGGAAGGGAAAGAGGCGAGGAGGGGGGAGTGAGGGAGGAAAGCTTTCTTTAAGATTTCCAAAGTGGAGGCAAACTTTCAGCGGTTTGGCAACCGGGACGATACTAAGCGGAATTGCAACACGTTGCAAACGGGGTGGGGGAAGGCGAGAGAGGGAGAAAGGCTCGGTCCTTTTGGAAACTTTCTTGAGAAAAAAAGAGCCGTATCTCCCTCCTCCCTCCTTTCAAAGGGGCGACCACTTCCACGTTAATTTTTGCTCCTGCGTGTATTCGAGCATTGTGCGTAATGCAACGTATAAGCGTACATGTCATGTCTTGTTACCTAGTCTTTTAAAGAAAATGTAAACAAAATCTGCTACAGCAGAGAGAATGTATAGAATGTGGAAGATTCTGGCTTTACCTTCACTACCACAAAAAAGTGTGCTGCTTCCATTCAAGAACTCCATCGTTACTGTATAATGCATACATTTCACCTTAAAATGTTATACTATCTAATTTTGAAGTAATGAAACTATCAGAATTACTATCAGTTCCTCATTTTTAACATAAAGCATGTAGTCTTTATCACAATATTCTGTAAGTGGTGATTATTTCTCACAGGAATGAATAGGAATAAGATAGGCAAGACTTTCCGATAATGAATTGAACTAAAAACCTCAAGCCTCAGCAAACATGGCTGTCTTTTGGGTTGAAATGACATTGAAAAATCTTGGAAGACACCAGGTTTATACACCCTGTTCCAGACTAGGCCTATCTATAAAGCCACAGCCCTTCCTCAAAGCCACATGCAATCAGGTCAACCAAAAATTTAACCCACAAAGTACATTTCTTGATGTTAGTCAACTGAAGAAGTGGACTTAAGACTGCAAGCTTATGATATCAAAGGCATGTCCATATAGTTTTGGTATCAACAGGAAAGTGATTTGTAGTTGGGGGTGGTGGGAGGAAGATTTTTTTTCAACTTCTCAGCTTAAGGTATAGATCCCCTGGTACACTGGATAACAAATATTTTGCTCCCTGAGCACTTATGGGTATTTCTTATAAATGTTTGGTTGCTAATCACAAAAATAACCTGTAATTTAACCCAGTGGTCGCCTATCAGTGGTTTGGGGACCACTGGTGGTCCATGAGAAAATTTTGGTGGTCCGCAGAGAAATATCACCCCAAAGCCCCCCCCCCCCCCAAGTAATTAATCCAGGCTGCGCGGGAACACAAGCCTGCGCCGCCCACATGGCCCACGGGAACACAAGGCTTGTGTCGCTTGCATTGCAAACAACATGAAGTAGTGAGGGGAGGGGGGAAGGACAGAGGAGGGAACTTGTCCCACTCACCTCACACACCTGCCCTGGCCACCTGGCTGCTTCTTTCCCCTTCTCCTTTTGGCTGCATGCAAGGAAAGCAGCAAAAATCTTTCTTTCTCTCCCCCAAACTCCGAAGACTCAGAAATGAGTCTTTGGGACCCTGCAAGGCACCCTGCTCCAAGAGGCTGCGCTGATGCAATAAGTCTCAAGAAGACTAATTACTGGCAGAGTTTGGGGGAGAAAAAGAAAGACTTCTGCTGCTTTGCTTGCATGAAGCCAAAAGTCTCTCACTCTTTCTCTCTCTCTCTCCCCCTGAGAACGGAGCTGGAGCTGGTATCCTGTGATCCCAAATAAAGAATGATTGATCAGTAGGAAACCGGATTGGGGAATTTTCCTGCAGACTTTTTGGGGGATTTTCCCAGGGTCCACAGGATTTAAAATTATGAGTTTGGTGGTCCCTGAGGTCCAAAAAGTTGGTGACCCCTAATTTAACCTACATTCAGTTTTATATAAATTTTCTGTTTTTTCAATGTACACTCTTCACTACCTGTTGGATATCTGCACACATGAAAGAAACATACGAAAACATGGAACTGTTGTTGTCCAGTCCACCAAATACAACTGGGATATCTGTAGAGATCTAAAAGTAGTAATTGTGTTGCTTGGAATGCAGCTCAGATATATACTGTTGTTACATGTGTGAATAGGATGTTATATGTTGAAAGAGACAGCCATGTAAGAGATTCACATTACATTAAAAAAATTGCCATGCTGAAAGCTGAAAGAGGACAGAAAAACATGGCACATAAACCACTTATTGAGCCAACAAAAATATTTGCCTCTGTTTCACATAAAACTTGGATTGATGAAAAAAATTGTGAAAGTGATGAACAAGGAAGGTTGAAAGTTTTCATTGTTTGAGGCAGCTGTTCCCAAGAATAATTGATATCAGATTAAAGAAGGCATTTTTATGTATCCACATATCAAATATGTCATCAATGATAAGCAGTTCAAAGGTCTGTGAATGGGGCCAGAGAATATTGTCTGGAAAGCATTCAAGGATGTCGTTGAGAATTATCTTGGCAACTACAGGACATCAGACTACACTCAGTAGTGACAAACGTCTTACAGCATACAAAATTAGGAAGCACAACATTGTCACTGAAGATTTGTTTTCTTCATTCATATTTGGCTTCTTCCCCCCAAATCTAGATTCAATCAGTGATGAACATGGTGAAAAGTTTCACCATGGCATTGTCACAATGGAAAAAAACAGTATCAGGGAACCTGGAATCCATCAATGCTGGCTGACTATTGTTGGACAGTGCAGCGAGATGCATCAGACCTTTGAGTACCAGTGAAAATCAGCAGCAGAACACTTTTGGTCCTGTTGCTCTCATGCTGCATGTTATATAAGCACATTTAACTAACACATTTGAAATATTATAATTCAGAAAAACAAGTCAGATCCATCAATATACCCAAGAATAATTCTCATTTATGCAATAAAAGAACTTTTAGCAAAGAATAGAAAATGCCCCCCCATCCAAACTCCCCCCACTGTATTTCTCTTTGCAGATTGGAGATACTGCACCTGGAGGTCTGCTATTTTTCTGCAGTGAAGATCATGGAGGAAAAAATAAACAAAGTGATAAGGATGGTGGGAAAGAGAAAGTTTCGACTACGGGAAGAAGATAAATGTGGATTTTGACTTCCTTTCTTTACAAACCCAAACAACAGCTGTGCCCACCACAGAGAAGCTGCAAAACTTGCACAGAAGGCAGCAATAACTACCAAAATATCCTGCTATGGTCAACTTCCCTTTGTCTTCTAGCAGAGATGGGAAACTCACATGCAAAATGCTATATATCCAATTGATCTGTCCAGTTAATAATGCTTTGTTTCATTTCCTTTTTTATAGATTTATTTCGGATTCATTCTTTTTATCATTACCTGTAGCTACCTGGAAATACATGGTTTATTAGATCTCTTGATGTATTTAAACTGCCAGAAGCAAAAAGAGTGAATTTTATGTCCAGCTGGGTGTTGCCTCCAAGAAGGGACAACAGTTTGTTTCTTGGCTGCATCAAATCTTAGAGAAATGCCTGTGATATTAGTAATACTTTGTGTCAGAAAAATCAGAAACCTGCATAACAGCCTCAGATTTGCTGATCCACAAGAAAGTGAAGTATTCAAAATCCTGAGAGATTCAGCAAATATTTTAAAAAGCGTAGCAGCAGCAAATCTAATAGATAAAGAAAGGAAGGGAATTGCCCTATAAAAGGACTTATACTATGATGACAGACATCAGCAAGCCCAATTCCATCTCATAACACATCCTTGCATCAACAACATTCAAGAGCACCAACAGAAGAGCTTAATTTCCAGTCCCCTAGAATGCAGTTTAATGGTTTAAGTGCTTGAGCTGATTCCGAGAACTCTCCAGTCTACATATCCAATCCGAAGCTTACCAAATGAGTCATTCTATGGGAGATTAAGGAATTGAAATCCTGTTATCATTTCCTGTTTCCAAAGAACATGCATTTAGTAAGAGTAGATGACAGAAGGCCTTCATATAATGGGGAATAAAATTTTCTTTTATGATTCAAGCTGTCTCTGAAACAAATGCAATGTGGTTTGCAGCAAAATGTTGCAGTATTATAAGAACAGAGAAAAAGTCCTTCTGGATTTGCTCAGTTTCTCACACAGGGCAGTCAGATGCATCTTGAAAGCTCACATGTGAAGACTGAATGGCTTCTCCATTGTCTTTCCCTGGCTGCTGGTAGATAAAATACACTGAAAGGATTCCAGGGAGATTAAATATGGAATGCTGGCTTTTAATTCCCTAAATTCAGTACCTTTTTAAAACTGTGTATTATGATGCCCATCAGTATTTCTGATGGCAGAAAATTCCTCTGTTTAAGTCTGCGATATGTACTGTTTCTTATTCCAGAAACTCCTTAAAGTTTGTTTCAGTTGATGGCTTTCAAATTCTACTTTGAGTGAGGAAAAAACCTGTTTTCCCCATATCATGCATGATTTTAGACATGGTTTTGTTTATTGGGAGTCATTGCGGCAGAGGGCTTGATATAGTGATCCAAACTGGGAAGATCAAGTTTGAAACCATCATGTGAGCTAGCTGATTTTGAACCAGTTGTCTCTTAGCCCAATACACCATGCAAGGAGGGAAAGGGGGAGATATTTGTGTATATTGCCTTGAATTTCCAAGAGTAAAAGAAGAATACAACTGCAACAGTCAATAACACTTCTACTTTTATCTGTCTTTACTCCAAATTAAAAAACCCAGTTGCCTTTAAATAGTCTCATTCAGGTTTCTGTCATTTTCATTTGCTCATTGTTCAGTTGTCTGTTTCTTTCTCCTAACAATCAACATTTCTTGGCTACTGATTATTTTCATGATCATTATTTTGAAGTCCTTAAATTAATTTTGTTCTTAATCTTTGTTTCCAATGAATCTAGTATATCTCTTCCTGTATGCATTATAGATACCATTTTGAATTCAGAAGGACCAACTCTTGCAAAACTGAATAATTTATTAATAAATATTGTTTGATCTTGTTGTACAGTTCTTGGGAAAATACTGGCCAAATATTTAACACTTTAAATATGTTTCT